AGATGACATGGCTATTATTGCTGTGTATGCTAAGTGAGCGCCTGAAGGACACGCGGCCAGCCTCATTGTCAAAACTCAGAAGGGCAGATGACTTGTGAAATAGCTGGAATGGGCGCCATTTCCCTTGCACGAGATTCATGATTGTAATAAGTGTAGCCGAGTCGACTGGATCCTCTTCATTCCTTCGCACTCAGGAAAACATTACTGTTCTTGTGAAAATCACACGCAGCACGGGAGTAGATGCCAGGTGAAGCGTGAATTCAAGATGTGATAAATAGTAACAGGAAAGACAAGATGAACAGAAATAGATAATGAACAGAGTAGCATAAAAATCTCTTCCTATGATTTTTTTTATTTTTACAGCCCTCATACAATCTAGTAAAAAAAAAAATCAAGGCTATTAATGGGTTTAATAAGGTATAAAATAATTTCTTCTCATCATTTACTTTTTTAAAAGACCGTCTTCTGTGGAAAACAAAATACATTTAATGAAAGTGTTTCAAAACAAGCATTTTTTTGGAAATAAACTTCACACAAATCACTTCATACGACTTAGGATATACTGCACAAGTTACTTTGATGTGTTTATGGTGTTTTTGGACTGTTTTCAGAGATTGACAAACCCTGGTCACCTCTATTTTCAGTATAGGGAAGAGAACAGCTTGGACGTTCTGCTAAGTTTCTCCTTTTGCCCGATCGGGAAGTGTTCCATTCAGGAGCTCTGACTTGGAAGTCGACTACATACAATCCCCCACATTTCTGCATGTCGCATTATATGATGGCTGAAATATCTCTTGTGAAAAAGAAGTGCACTGAATGTGCACTTGTACTTCAAATCTTAAAAACTGTACTTGCAGATAATATAATTCTAATGTAATTACAATTAATAAAAGGGCACTATAATAATGTTAAATTAAAAAGTACAGTACATTTTAAATATTTTTTTTTTATAATTGATTATAATTTTAACTGTAGTGTGTTATTCAGTATTACACTAAAGTACTAAATTGCAGCTTCATCATTCCAGACATGTAACAATATATTTAAAAATACATGACACACAATGTTCAGTAGAAATGACATGAAAGTATATTTTAGTTTACCATATTTTTTGTCTGTACATTCAGTAGCATATTTCAACATAAATAAACCATGTAACATAAATATGAAATTACATATATGAGCTGTACTCTATTGGCTCAAAAATGCACTCTATGCTGTGTAACGTCATGTCAGCGTATGTTTTTCCTTACTTCAACTCATCAAATTAATTTAACCAATTTCAACTTAATTTGTTTAAGTTCAACTAAACGTTAAAGTCAAGTATTTAAGTAAATATAATTTAAGTTGTAATAACTTGCCCAGCCAGTTTGGTTGAACTTAAATTTTTAAGCTGAAGTAGGTGGAATTTTTATAGTATTAAGTTCAGCTAACTGCATTCAATATAAATTTAAACTACTATAAATGTTCATTTAATTGCACTTAACATGCAAATAAGTGCCCAAAAACATTACCTGTACATGTATGATCCTTTACAGTGTATTATTTCTGTAGCACTCTTTAAAAAATGTTAAAGTGTTCTTGTTTTTCTCAAGGAATCTTATATGTGACCCTGAACCACAAAACCAGTCATAAGGGTCAATTTTTCGAAACTGAGATTTATACAACATCTGAAAGCTGAATAAATAAGCTTTCCATTTATGTATGGTTTGTTAGGATAGGACAATATTTAGCTGATATACAACTATTTGAAAATCTGGAATCTGAGGGTGCAAAAAAAATCTAAATACTGAGAAAATCGCCTTTAAAGTTGTCCAAATTAAGTTCTTAGCAATGCATATTACTAATCAAAAATTAAGTTTTAATATATTTACAGTAGGACATTTACAAAATATCTTCATGGAACATGATCTTTGCTTAATATCCTAATGATTTTTGGCATAAAAGAAAAATCAATAATTTTGACCCATACAATGTATTTTTGGCTATTGCTACAAATATACCCCAGCGACTTAATACTGGTTTTGTGCTCCAGGGTCACATATGTAAATTGATTGCCATGATTGATTTGATTTATATTTAAAAGGCTAACAACTTGAGTGTGGGTAAATGACTGAACTTTCATTTCTGGGTGAACTGTCCCTTTAAATAACTTTTTACATAATGACCATTGCATCAAATGCAGCTCATGATGCCTTAAGACAGCTACTAGAAGAAATAGAAGCTAAGACTAGTATGTACAGACTGCAACACCGTATGTTTGTTTGTAGGCAGGCTATGTAGCAACATAGATTGTTACATCATTATTCAACTCAAGTCAGTGGAAACATAGGCCAGAGTAAAGAACAGAGAGAGAGAGAGAGGTACACGTCAAATGAAGAAAGAGCAAGTCCCCTCCTCTCGCTTTGCCCTCATGCCCCCTTTAACAAGCGAGGCACTGGAAGGCGGCCCGTGTGACTTCAGGGGCCGAGTGACGTAAACCAGGGAAGCAGCTGAGCACTCAAAGCTCACCCTGAATATCAGAGCTGAGGTCTAATGCATCACTCTGGGGTAAAGGGCCAGAGCTGAAAGGGTGGTTCACGCCAGAGGGAAGTGCTAACTAAGACTTAGTGCTTTATTGAACTGCTAAGTGGAGTAGCTTCACAATGTGCCAGTGTCACACAAGACGCTTGAGATACTAAACCGCGTTTGAGTACCTCTTTATTTTCTCCTTTTATTATTCACGATGGAGTGTTTGCTTCCGACGGGAACGAGGCCAGAAACTAAATAGAATGTCAAAGCATGAAACGGATTACAGTTGAATGCCCATTCACAGAGTTTAGATGAATTATCCATTAAAGTTACACGCAGAAAAAAGATAAGCTCAGACTAAGAAAAACATGGCAGGTTTAATGAAAACGGTTCCTCTTGGGGTTTCTGTATTTCTTTGTTGTTTGTTCTTGCGGTTATTACAGTAATTCTTTAAAAGCAACAAATGGGTGGAATTACAGATACTTTAACAAACAACCTTAACGTTTCACAAGGAGCAACAATCGTTCATGAAACCTACAGCCTTTTGTGCATTGTCAGTCATAAACATATGCAAAACTGAACATAAGAATTGTTTATCCATATTGTCACCACTGTGCCCTTGAGTAAAGCAATTAACCTCTGGCTGCTCCAGGGGATTTTCAGGGAAGTTGCTTTCTGCTTACGTCACCCCGCTCGTGACGTCTCGCTTCGCTATTGGACTGATTTCACACAGGCTTCAGTACGGTGTCTCGCCGAGGGCGTTCCCAAAGCGTTTGACGCAGCGTCTCATTCCCTTCGGGGAACCATGGTTACATACGTAACCTAGAGACGTTTAGATGAATTATCCATTAAAGTTACATGCAGAAAAAAGATAAGCTCAGACTAAGAAAAACATGGCAGGTTTAATGAAAACGGTTCCTCTTGGGGTTTCTGTATTTCTTTGTTGTTTGTTCTTGCGGTTATTACAGTAATTCTTTAAAAGCAACAAATGGGTGGAATTACAGACACTTTAACAAACAACCTTAACGTTTCACAAGGAGCAACAATCGTTCATGAAACCTACAGCCTTTTGTGCATTGTCAGTCATAAACATATGCAAAACTGAACATAAGAATTGTTTATCCATATTGTCACCACTGTGCCCTTGAGTAAAGCAATTAACCTCTGGCTGCTCCAGGGGATTTTCAGGGAAGTTGCTTTGCATAAAAACATCTGCTTCAACTGAGATTTTTTATCTTTTCTGGGCTATCAAATACCGATCCCTTGCAGAGGACACCTTTTCTAAATAAAGGTACAGTATATATTTTAATATATACAAAAAATTAAAATAATTAAATAAATAAATAAAAAATATATATTTTAAACAAATGTTTAGACATGTTGGTAATTTTTATATTATATTTTCATCGTGTATT